CCTCTAGCATGGCTTCCTGCACACTGACTGCAGCTGCCAGTGAATCTGTCTACGTCCGCGACCTGATCGCTCCTCTTAGGAACGCTGTCCTTCCTCCAGCATCTAACACTATAGCAATAAAAACATGAATGAATGAAGTACTGTTGGCTAAGGCACAGTGACAGGGACTTCTTGGAGGCACTTCTCCAAGATCCAGCAAGGCAGGTGAGGGAACAAGTGCCCATCATTGTCTGGAGCTTCCCATCACAGCTTCAAGATCAAGGAGAAAGGCTCTACCGTCTGGTGGTTAACTGCAGACGACAGCGTCCCAGATTCTGGCAAAGGGCTGACCCTGAAGGCCAAACGAAGACCTGCACACCTTCCAGTCTCCTGGAATTCCAAGGTGGAAACACATTCGATTGATGCCACTGCAACCTGGCAATGTTTAGGAGAAAAGAGATCCCCGAGCCAAGAAGGGCTCCCCCTAACTCAGACATCTGTCTTAGAAGCATGTGTTTATCTCCCAGGAGGACAACGAGGACATCAGGTGGACCCCAGAATTGGCGGGCAGGCTTGGACCCATGGACTTCTGGCCCAGACACCTCCAGTTTTGGAGACTCCCGGGACTCCAACAAGCTAAACGCAGCAATTCCCAGTGCTGGAACAGAGGCTGGAGCTCTGGGAGGAAGCATCGCTGTTTCCCAATGCATCGGTGTTGTCATCAGCTGTAGCAGATCAGAAACTCACTCATCAGCAGACAGCAGATGCCTTGCATTAAGATGAAGTGAAACCCTGTGGTCTCTGTGAAGAGGTTGACCAGCACTGTGCTGGTCTGTGGTCATGCAGCATTTTTCTCTGCCACTGGGTGGCAGGTGTTCATGGTTTATCACGACTGCTGAGTTGATGACCTTGAGGAGGGAGGTTCTGGTTCATTCTGGGAAATCAGGCCTCATCCTGCCTGGGCTGTGAGTCTAGGGATGCCTGGGGGCGGCAGGGAAGCCTCCGCCACACCCCAGGCCCATCTCTCACCAGAATCTTGGTCTCCTGCAGGTGGGACATCTGTCCTCCTTTTCCAGGTCTCCTGAGTCAACCTTCACTCAAAGCTGGGTGGTCTCTAAGTCCTCCAGAACCCTGGGAGCAGCAGCTGCCTCTTGCTTTCAGGTCACTCCAGGTCCCAATCCTGCAAAAGTCTCCCAGTGACTCCCTCTCCTGCTTTTCCTGCCCACACCTGACTCCCTGACCCTGTCTGTTCTTGGCAGAAGGCTGCCCTCTCCTGGGACCCCAAATCAGCACCCCTTTCCCAGAGGATCCTTGTCCTTGGCATCGGACAGCACTTCCCGAGGGTCCCATGAGATGCTCTGTGTTCATGGATGTTTGGGAAACTCCCCGGCTGCAGCCCATCTTGGGGATTGACTGCGTGTGAGCACCGTAAAGTTTCTGGAAAGTTCTGTAGGAGAGGCTACTGTTCCATTTGGTGAACTTGTTCTTCCCTAAATCTTCATGATGCTGGAAGCATTTTCCGAGTCACATGTGTGAACATCCCACGGCAGACGTGGACAGATGCAGCCATTTGACCCAGGCGTCAGAGGGCACTGCCCAGCCAAGCACCCAGAATCCGGCTCCCAGCACTTGCATCAGCTCTTCTCTTCCCTGATGTCCTAGGCCCAGCTCCCTGCTTCTTCTCCAAGTCCCAGCCTTATCTTTGCCCTTGATTACTTCCTTATATTTCAAACTCTGATAACTAATCAAACACCTGGGGCTTTCTGGAGGCCCCAGCATTCAAGCCTGAACTTGCTGCTCCAAGGGAGAAGGTGAAAGTTGACATAGGTAGCGCCGGGTAAGTATGAGCCACACTTTTTAAATGTGTGGGTTGAATGACAAGTGATTGAATGAACAAGCGGATTCGCTGAATGAACAAAAAGCCTAATGACCTGGGATATCATTCGAGTGCGTTTCCCCGTGCAGGTGAAAACCATGATATTCTCCCTTAGATGTGTACGTGTGAATGTGCAAAAGACTCCCCCAGTCTGAGGCAGGAGTTGCTCTAGAAAGCTCTAGACATGGTGCCCGGTTGTGGCATGTTTAGCTGGTGCGTGCTTTCTCCTTGCATTTTCATTTCCACATACACGTCTGGGAAAAAGCCTCACTGGGACCCATGGTTGCTGAATGTGCCATTTGCATGTCCCGAGCACTTCTCTGCCAACGGGGAGGCTGTGTCACAGTTCGTAACAGCGGGTGCTGAGTGTCCAGGGAGTGAATTCCACACCCTCCGCCCGGTGGCTTTCCTTCAAGGGCTGGCCACGCCCACTCTCGTGGAGATGAGAAGCCCAGGTCCCACCAGGCTCACCCAGGGCTAGCAGAATCAGAACACAAACCTCTGACTCTTCCTCCACCCAGCTAGAGGGGGACTCATCAGCCCCATCTTCCCAGCAGAATCACTGGGGAGGCTTAAAAAATTAGAGATGCCCCGTCCCTTTCCAAGGGAATTGTAGGGGAATGGCTCCGCCGTGGTGCCCTGGCCACCCAGGCTCCATTGAAGCTCAGCCTGTCGGGATTTGGCAGGACAGCCTGTGGTACGCCTGGAACACAGGAAGATGGAAACCTACCAGGAGCCGCTGTGGGGTCACCCCCCGCCTCCCTGGGGCAGATCAAGCATGGGGTCTTCCTCCATGCGTCACTTGGAGTAGAGGTGCAGAATCCAAAACCACTCGTGCTGTCTAGAGTTGGCTCCTTCGTGACGGGGTGGCCTATCACAGCCGGCCTGCCATGCGTGTCTCGGTGGTGTCCTACCGGTGTTTCTGATGTGTGGGGAGCTGGCACTTTTGACTTAGCTCTTTTTTTGAAATTCAGGGGGACATGTGCTGGTTGGTTACGTGGCATGTTGCACGATGGCGAGGTCCGGGCTTCTGTTGAGCCCATCACCCAAATGGTGAGTGTGGTGCCCGAGGGGGGTTTTCCAACCCTTGTGCCCCTCCCTCCCCACTTGAGGAGTCCTCAGTGTCTGCTGTTCCCATCTGAGTGTACCCAGTGTTTAGCTCCCACTGGGAAGTGAGAACATGCAGTATTTGGTTTTCTGTTTCTGTGTTAATTCACTCAGGAGAACGGCCTCCAGCTAGCTAAATCCAAAGGACAGGATTTTGCTGGTTTTTACGGCTGTGTGGTATTTCGTGGTGCGCCACGTCTTCTTTCAGTCCACCGTGGAGGGACACCTCGTTTGGGTCCATGTCTTTGCCACTGTGAATAGTGCTGCAATGCACCTGCCAGTGAAGGGGTCTTTCTGGCAGAATGACTTATGCTCCTTTGGGCCTATACCCAGGGGTGGGATTGCTGGATTGAAGAGTTCATTTATTTGTAGTTCTTTGAGAAATCTCCAAACTGCTTTCATAGGGGCTGAACTAACTCACCACCAGTAGCTTACGAGAGTTCTCTTTTCTCTATAACCTTGTCAACATCTGCCGTCTTCTTTTTTTACTTCTCTTTTTTTGAGTTGAAGTCTCACTCTGTCGCCCAGGCTGGAGTGCAGTGGTATGCTCACAGCCACCCCAGCATCCACCTGCTGGGTTCCAACAATCCTTCCGCCTCAGCCTTCTAAGTAGCCGGAACCACAGGCATGTGCCACCGCACCCGGCTAATTTGCAATTTATTGTAGAGACAAGGTCTCACCAAATTGCCTAGGCTGGTCTTGAACCCGTGGGCTCAGGCAATCCTCTCGCCTCAGCCTCCCAAAGTGCTGAGATGACAGGCTGAGCCACCAAGCCCGAACTTTTTTTCACTTTTTAATAATTAGCTTGACTCTTTTCACTCTCTCTGTATGTAACAAGCAGATGCTAACAGTGGCTCGTGGGCTAAATCTCTGCCTTGTCTGACAGATGAATCTCATGACAAGAATCTGACTGGATGGTGAGTGGGAAGTGGCCGGAGTGTTTCTTTTTTGGTTTTGGTTTTCCCTTTGGTTTTGAAACAATGATAGATTCACAGAAACATGCAGACTCCTGGACAGGAGGGCTTGTGTGCCCTTGCCTCAGCTTCTCCCCAGAGTGATCCCCTGCAGAGCTACTGGACACATCAAAACCGCAAAGGTGACATTGGTATAATCTGCAGAACTACTTCAGATTTCACCGGTTTCACACACTCTTGCGCGAGAGTGTGAGTGTGTGTAGCTCTGTGCAATGTGAGTGCACATCTAGGTTGGTGTGACCACAAGACATCCAGAATGGCTCTATCACCACGAGGTAATACAACCCTCCAGTCACCCTCTGAACCTCACCCACCAGCTCCATTCCAACCCCTGCAGCCTCTCATCTGTTATCCATCTCTATAATTCTGATATTTCAAGAATGTTCTCTAAATGGAATCATACAGTCTCAAAGATGGCCTTCTGAGATTGGCTTCTTTTACTCAGCATAATTCCCTTGAGATCCTCCCAAGTGGTTGTATGCATCAATAATCCATGGTTTTACAGCCAGATGTGGTGGCTCACACCTCTAATCCCAACACTTTGGGAAGCCAAGGTGGGAGGCCAGAAGTTTGAGATCAGCCTGGACAGTACAGTGAGACTCCCGTCTCTACAAAAATAATAATAATAATTTATGGTTTTTGTTGCAGACTATTCCATAGTATAGATATACCACGATTTGCTTAACCATTACCCAAGAACTTCTGGGTAAATGTTTCCAGTTTGGTCTATTCCAAATACAGCAGCATGCAAGTTTTTATGCGAATATAACTTTTCCTTTCTCTATAGTAAATGCCTAAATGTGCAAATGCCAGGTCAAATGGTAACTGCACGTTCATAAAACACTGCCAAGGTATTCTCCAGAATGGCTGGGAAATGCTGTTTCGTGACTCCCCTGGGTGGCTAGGGTTGATTGTTGCTGACCTGGAAGCCGATCTAAGTCACCGCAGATGTGGCAGGGATGCCAGCATGTAGGGCTGAGGTGTCCATCTCATCCACATGTGATAGACGGCACTCAGTTTTTTCAGGGACGACTCCTGAGAGGTCTTTCTGAATCACTCCCCAGTTACCGAAGCGGGCTGTTTCCTCAGCCTTCGTCGTGGACTCATGCACGAGCCACTCGGATGAGAGCGCGAGAGAGCCTGTCCACACGGGCGTCTACACAGGTTTCCCTTGGTGGTGGCAAACTGGCCTAAATTCACCTGCCCGGGGAGTCATGCTGAGCTGTGTGGCCAGGGGCAGTCAGACCCTGACTGTGCTCTCCTGGGGGCTGAGGGATTTGTTCTCTAGAAAGAGAACCGAGTTCTGGAAGCTGAGCCTCCCTGCGTCTTGAGTCCTGCCCTGGAGCTGGTCAAGAACCAAAGTCAAGGCAGTTTCTATCACCAGGGCTGCGACTTCCCTGGCCGCCCTTGGGTGCTTTGGGACGCGTACCACGCTTGCTCCAGCCAGGAACAAGCAGCAGTTAGGAGCGTTGGTAGGGCTTCCTTGGACCCATTTCCCAGAATGCAGCCCGAAAGCCAGGAGTGAGTCTCCAAGCTGGCTCCAGCGTCCCCTCCGGAGAGCCCTTGGCTATGCACCTCCACCTGCCCTTCAGATGACCACCAGGCACCTGTCACTCGTGTCACATCTGCCTGGGGCCTGGTCACACTGCCCGGGTGAGTCACAAGCTGGGTCTCTCCAGCAGTAAAACATCTGGCAGCAACAGACATCCCAGCGCCTCCCCCTCCTCACCTCGCAAAGCCCCCAAAGGCTTCCTCCCGGAGGAGTTGTGGGATTTCCCACAAATCCCATCCCGGCACCCCTGCCCGGGGCCAACCCCTCCCCACTGGCACGGCGGGGGTGGGGGGGCCCCCTCCGGACTCCCGGAGCCCCAGCCGGGGGGTAGCCAGAGGCCAAACGAAAACAAACCAGAGAAAGGGAAACGAAGGCAAACAAAAGAATTCCCCGGACCCCCAGCCCCCGGCGCGCACACAAAAGAGCAGGGCTGTGGGAAGAGGGAAGCTGGCCGGGCTGGGGGCTCCACATTGTTCTCCGCCCAGGTCTGGTGATGACAATCCCAGCCCCACGGGCAGCCCCCTCCCCTGCGCCGGCACCCTTCCTCCCTCCCACCTTGGGCCCTGAGAACGAGGCCCCGGCAGATGTCAGGCCCGGGAGTGGTTCCCACAGGAGGAGGAAGCGGGAGCTCACAAAAGGCCCGGCTGTTCCCTGAGGAAGCGGCGGCCGCGACTTTTCAGGGACAGGCGACCGGCCGCGAGGACGGGACGGACGGGGAAGCCTGGGCCCAGGGGACGGGCCGGAGGAGCTGCCTCCCGGAGGAAAGGCGGGCATTGTGAGCCCTTGTTTACGCCCAGCTGGGGCCCTGACCTTGCCGCTGGGCCCAGGCTGGAGGCTCCTCCACCTTCGGGCATTGTTATGGAGGGACCCTTTCATGGTTTCATCTGGGGTGGTGGCTTGCTGGTGTGCGGCCCTTCCCCCACTGGCTCACTTTCAGCATTGTGACCTGGATAAAAAGGCAAGATCTCTTTCCCCTTTTCCCGGTGCCGGCTTCCTACCCTGACCCAGTGGGCTCGAGACCCGTTAACCCTTGGAAGAGCAGGAGAAGGAGCAGCCCTCCCCCACCAATATCAGGCCCAAAGCAGGCTCAGACTCCCCTAGTCTCATCCTCCCAATATTGTTGGGGACAGAGACACGGGGATCCAGGACGGACTTGGGCAAGGAGCAGTTTGGCCTCACAGATTCAGGCACCGGAAGGCGAGATTGGGCCGGGTGTGGTGGCTCCCGCCTGTAATGCCCCCACTTTGGGAGGCCGAGGCAGGAGGATCACTTGAGATCGGAGTTCAAGACTGGGCTGGGCAACAGAGCAAGACCTCATCTCTCCAAAAAAATTAAATTAAAAAATAAGCCAGGTGTGGTGTCAGCTACTCTGGAGGCCGAGGCAGGAGGATCACTAGAGCCTGGGAGGTTGAGGCTGCAGTGAACTGTGGTCACACAAGCAATCCAGTCTGGGCAACAGAGCAAGACCCCATCTCTAAAAGTAAGAAATAAAAGGTGAGATTGCCAGCGTGTGGGGGGGCTGCAGGGGTCAAGGGTACAGAGCCTTAGGGACTGGGTCTGTCATCCCAACAGCCACAGAGACGCCGGCCAGTGAGACATCCACGTCCTCAAAGGTACATCCACCAACCGGGTGGAGCATAGAAGGGGGCTACCAGCATGGAAAAGTCTGGAAGTTCCATCAAAAGCAGAGCAGAGGAGTGGACTTGAGAGTCCTGGCCTGGAGAAGCCCGGGGCACCGTGATGGGTACACCATGATCTATCAGAGCCTGTCATGGGGGTAGGGGGCAGATGCATGTTGAGTAAGTCAAAGGCAGAACCAGGAGCAGGGGGGAAACTCCTGGAAGCCTAGATCCTGCCGCAAAGGGTGCTCCCCCATGCTGGAGGTGTAGGTACAACCTGAGGAAAGCGGAGAGGTCCCATCACTAGAGGCAGCATGCAGTGTGTAGGAGCCAGAGGTGTCCAGGGACCCCGGAGACCAGCATCCCAGGGAGGCCAGCACTCACCCCGGGACCATCGTAGGCCTCGCAGGGAGCCCAGGGTGGAGCCAGGTGTGTTCAACCATAGCCCGGCTCCCTTGCCAGGGAGACCCCATGGCAAGCCTGCAGACTGGGGGAGGCCAGGGGAGCCGAGGGCTCTTCCAAGCTGAGACTGTGGCTCCCTGTCTCCAGCTCAGAGAATCCACGAACTGCCGGGCTCCTGAACACCTCGCTCCCTCCTCTCTAAGTTTCCGCCTCCCACCTGCCCCCCTCAAGTCCACCTGGCTAACTGTTTTACAGCTCGCTTGCTCCGAGGAAACTTCTGGGTGTCAAAGGCTCCCAGGAATACTTGCCTCTGTCCTCGACGGCACCCACAGCCCACGCCGGCACTTATTTGCCCCCACGGATGGATCATGCCCCATGGACACACCGGCGTCTACGAAGGCAATGTGGCTGGCTGCTCGTGGTTGAGACCTTTTACCCCTTCCCTTTGATGGGGAAAGGTCATTGAGGTGGGTTTCTGCTCTATAATGGAGTGGAGGTTTCCAGAAGATGGAGCCTCAGGTCTGCCCATGCTCTCTGAGGCTACGACAGGGTGCAGGGGAGGATGACGGATCCCCAGGCCAGCAGCGTCCCCACCGCCGCCCGGCCACAGCCCACCCAGCCCTGAGCAGCCCTCTGCAGCCCTCCTCTCCTGTGACGGGCAGGGTGCCCTGAGTTGTCCAGGCACTGGCGGGCACATTTGCTTGCTAGGACGGCCGTAATGAATGCCACCGACTACATAACTTGAACAATAGCCATTTATTGCTTTATAGCTCTGGAGGCTGGAAGTCCAAAATCAAGGTGTCTGTGGGTTGGCTTCCCCTGAGGCCTCTCTCTTTGGCTTGTGGGTGGCTGTCTTCTCCCTGCGTCCTCACACGGCTGTCCCTCTGTGCGTGTCTGCCTTTTATGAGGACCACAGTCATATTGTGTCAGGTCACACTCCCAGCAGGGGCTTCCAGAATGTTAGGTCAGGCTTGCTGGGGTTGTCGGTGTCTGGTGTGAGATCTGGTGCCGTGAGAAAGATGTAAAGATTTGCACAGAAGTTAGATTAGAAAATATAGTTCATTTAGAAAGCAAATTAGGGAGAGAGGAGAGAGAGAGGAGACTCACCTCCCCAAGGGAGGGGAGGGGGCCAAAGCTTAGTAAACATGGTGGCAGCTAGAGCTCCAAGAGCACATGGACACACCAGAGTCTACGAAGGCAATGGCGGCTGGCTGCTCGTGGTTGAGTCCTTTTACTCTTTCCCTTTGGTGGAGAAAGGTCATTGAGGTGACTGGGTGGTGGTCTGCTCCACATCATCACACAGGGGCGGGTGAGCACAGGTACTGACGTCAGGTGATGGACAGCAGGCAGATGGGCGGGTGAGTCACGTGATTGCTGCCGTGGTGGTGGGGGTCTGTGTCATGAAGGACTGATTAGGTTAGCTTGGGTCTTCTGGGTCAAGGCAAATACTTGGGATGGAAAAGCTGATGAGTACCAAGCCGGGGAGGGCGTTGCAAAGCAACTATCAATAGCTACCTCTGAGAAGCCAACTGGTTCTGTCTTTGGCTGGCGATTAGAAGGTCAGTTGAGTGAACTTCTAGAAAAACATGAGCTTTGGGCAACATGAAAATGGCTGCTCATTGGGGCTCTTCAATCCATGTCGTGTCCTTTCATATTGGGTTGGGGCCCACCCTGAGTGGCCTTACCTCTTTAAGGCCCTGTCTCCAAAGGCGGTCATCCCGAGGTACTGGGCCGGGGGCTTCACATAGGAAGATACAATCCAGCTCCGTAGCAGGGGCTTCGGGGTCCTCTTTCACCAAGACCATCTCCAGGAGCTCTCTGATTCGATGAAGAGCCAAGTGGCCAAAGAAGGGGAGTAAAGCCTGGAAGGGAAGGCAGCGGGCTCTGAGACTGAAGCGGGGGAGGGCTGGAGTCTGCAGAGCCCTGGAGCGCCGCGGGAGGAGACTGGCCCTCCACCTTGGCCATCTCTCCGGTGTACAGCCAGCCCACTTTTTATTGAGGGTAGCCTGAAGCTCGTCCATGGCCATCATGAGCTTTTGGTAAAGGTCTCATCAGGCCTGGGTACAAGGGTAGTGACATTTGCCACACCAATAGAAACTAGCTGATGGCCGGACGAAGTGGTTCAGCCTGTCATCCCGGCACTTTGGGAGGCCAAGGCGAAAGGATTGCCTGAGCCCAGAGGTTCGAGACCAGTATGGGCAACTTGGTGAGCCTTCGTCTTTACAATAAATCACAAAAACTAGCCGGGCGTGGTGGCGTGCGTCTGTCGTTCCAGCTACTTGGGTGGCTGAGGCGGAAGGATCACCTGAACCCAGCGGGTCGGGTCGAGGCTGCGGTGGTCGAGAGCATGCCACTGCACTCCAGCCTGGGTGACAGAGTGAGACTCCGACCCCCCCCAAAAAAAACTAGCTGAATGAAGGTTGAGTGCACTTCTGGGAGACAGACGGTGCCTGGGGCCGAGACAGGGAAGGGTGGACGGGTTGGGATGTTTAGGAATTACTGACACCCAGAAGGGCCACTGATCCTCACCCACAGAGACCACACGGCAAGAGCCTGCTCGCGACTACAGGGCCTCCTGAAGGGGACCTAGTATTCACCCCAAAGCTCCCTTGCTGTGTGCACCTTGTGGGTAGATACGGGTGTGTGTCTGTGTGCTTGTGCGTGTACACGCCTGTGTGTGTACAAACATGCGGGCATGTTTGTGCACACGTTTGTGTACATGTGTGTGCACGTGTGTGTCTGCATGTGTACATGCACGATAGACATGTGTGTGTGTGCACAAGTGCTTGCGTGCACCCTCGTGCACCGGACATAGCTGAGAGCCCCGGATGAGGTGAGGAAAGGACTTGGGTGTGGCAAGAGCAGGGAGCTCTGTTCAGGCTGCAGGTTCTTCTGCCAAGGTCAGTGGCACCAGCACACCAAGCACCAGCGTCAAGTTCACTCAACTGACCTTCTAATCGCCAGCCAAAGACAGAACCAGTTGGCTTCTCAGAGGTAGCTATTGATAGTTGCTTTGCAACGCCCTCCCCGGCTTGGTACTCATCAGCTTTTCCATCCCAAGTATTTGCCTTGACCCAGAAGACCCAAGCTAACCTAATCAGTCCTTCATGACACAGACCCCCACCACCACAGCAGCAATCACGTGACTCACCCGCCCATCTGCCTGCTGTCCATCACCTGATGTCACCTGACCAGGCAGCGTCACCTGACCAGCGTCACACCAAGCATCAGCGTCACCTGACCAGGCAGGCCATCTGCTTCTCTTGACAGCCCGTTCCTCCTTCCGAAGTTTCCTTCTGGCTCTTGCTACTCAGTTTGCTCTTCTCTGGGTGGGGGGCCCCGCTTTAGGTGACAGGGACTGTCGGCATTTGAGCGACTAGGAGACTTCTGACCTGGTGCCACAGGGGCCATCCCGGGAAACCTGACGCACGACCTGAAGACCCGCCCCATGAGCCTGTCACGTGACGGGCACGACGGCCTCAGCAGAGGGGCCGGGGTTGCCCCCGTGTTGCAGCTTGGCAGGGGGCCAGGGTTGGGATCCCCGCCCAACTACTCTGCAGCTGTGCGACTCAGGGCGCAGCTACGCTTCTAAATCCTCAGTCCTTAGGGGTGCAATGGGGACGCTGACACCTCTGGAAGGACTTCCGTGAGAGGAGAGCGGATTCCCCTCTGCCCTTTGCCCTTCACAGAGGACGAGCGGGCAGTCCAGGGTGGCAGAGAGCAGGGTGTGGACCAGGAGCAGGTCGTCTCACCTCACCCTCTATCCACGGAGATCTCTGTGCTCAGCTGTCTCTCCCCAAGGCTAGCTCTGATCTAACCCACCAGTGTCTGGGACTGAGAGGAAACTAGGGTCACCGGCATATTATTTTCCACTTTTCCCTTCCCGTGGCCCCCAAACTAGTAAAAACCTCAGATGAGAGCTCAGAAGGCAGAAAAAGGTAGCCTGGACACTTCTCAGAAAACGGGGTGGGGGGGGTTAAGGGTCCCACAGCCTCAGGGAGCCTCCCTTCCCCAGGGACCTGCTAAGCAGGGCCTAGGGGCTGTGGCTGGCCCGACCCCGATTCTCCCCCCTCTCTCCGTCTTCCATCCTTCAGTGGTTCACCCACACACGCACTATTCGCTGAGCCCCACCCAGAGAGGCAGCGAACAAGTGCCACACCAGCCCTGCGCCTCCAGAGCTGACAGTTCCTGCAGCCCCTCAGCTACAAGCCACTAAGTAAGGAAGAAGAAAAAGGAACAAAGAAGGAAATGCGAACTTCCCACAAACTGCCCTGTAGGCCACTCTGGCTGCCTGGGCCAAGGGAGGAGCCTGGGGTACCCGGCAGTCCCGGGGCTCCACACAGCATCGATCCCACGTTAACCTCCCTGGACTTAGAGTCTGAAGGAAACTGAGTCAGGATCCAGACCCAGCTACCAGCCAAGGCACGGACCCTCTCCTGCCAGGAAGAGATAGAAGAACTTGACAACTGCAGAATCATTGAGACCCAGAAGAGAAAACCAGGATTTTCTCTTGGAAAGCCCATTTCCCATGTTTGAGGCAAGTGTACCACCAAGGCCCTCCCCGGCTGAACTTTAGATGGTTCCCCTGAGCCCTCTCTCAGCAGGGCCTCCTCTTTGTCCCTGCAGAATACAGTTGAATTAAGAATCCTGGTGCCTGGCCTCGGTGGCTCGGCCTGTCCTCCCAGCACTTTGGGAGGCCGAGGCGAGTGGATTGCCTGAGCCCACAGGTTCAAGACCAGCCCAGGCAACTTGGTGAGACCTCATCTCTACAATAAATCAAAAATAGCCCTGCTTAGAAGGCTGAGGCGGAAGGATCTCCCAGAACCCAGCAGGTCGACACCGGCGTGGCCGTGAACATCACCACACTCCAGCCTGGGTGATGGAATGAGGCTCCAACTCAAAAAAAAAAAAGAATCCCAGTAAGTCAGTTTAGAGAGGCTCCTCCCACCTGGATACGTAATCACCCCTGATAGCCAATCAAATTTCTCCACCACCATCATCCCCCTTGACGTCTGGTCAAGGTTTAGCTAGGTCAGTTTAGCCAGAATCCCCTAGTCTTGATGTCTCTGTCTAATATCTTCCCACCCGCCAGCCCTCCAGCCGGTTCTTGGGCTATAAATCCCCTATAAATGTTCTGGCATTCCAGTTTCACCCATCTCTCTCCCCTCTTCTACCTGTTCAGAAAGGCCCGGGTCAAGTCTTCCTTGCCGTTTTAACAGGCATCAAAATAATTTTTCCTTTAATGGCTAGTATTAGGAGCACACACACAAAGGAAGGAATATCTGCTCCGTTGACGACTGTGTTTGCATAGGTGTTTTATGAGCTGCCCAGCTGACCAAGTGACGCAAGACACCATCGTGAGGACCAGCAGGAGGAAGACCAAGGCTCCGGGAGAGCCCTTTGGCGAGGACAGTCTCCGCAGCTCCCAGGCGGTGGCCCCAGAGCTGACTCTGGAAGAGTACGGGCCACTGGCTCTTTGGTGGCTCCCCAAACCAGCCATCTCCTTCTTGAGGGTCTGTCTCAAAAACGGAGCCTGAGTTCACTGCCATTGCCACACCCGGCGGTCTCCTGGGATTGTAGAGTGCCGCCAGGGGTCTCTGTTGGAGCCTGTGATTCCCCGAGCTCCTACTGGTTCCATCATGGAGAGGCGCACCACGCGTGTGGGAACAGTCTTGTCCTCTCTCAATAGAGGGTCCTCTCCACGGGCTACAGCCCAGAGGCAGCATCTACTCTTCTGCGCACGCCTGAGATGCTGGAGATCGGGCGAGACGCTCCCTCATGTGACAGCTGGGGAACGAACCACAGGACCAAACCCCGCACCCAGCGCCAGCCCGAGAATGTGTGGGTACAGCCGGGGTGGCCATCTGGAGCAGAGCTGGGGGGCTCCCTTCCCAGTCGGTGGGATCCCACAAGCTCATCAAAGACAAGAAGGACACCTGAAAGGGACTTCGCGGGTTTCTTCACCCCTGCGGTTGGGACAAAACTCCCCTCTCAAGTCCTCTCTGCAGAAGGAGGAAAAAATAAGAGCCCGCAACTCAGCAGGGAATACGATTTTAAAAATAAGTATGGGGCGATGTGTTTCATGCCTGCCCCACGGGGCTCCTGGACCCATAACTCGGGAGCACAATGGCCTTTCTTGTTGTGAATGAGTGTAAGGTGCCAGCAGAGGAAATAGGAAGCCCCCAATATAGTCTGAATGGACCCGTGAACAG